CTAAAGGAATCAAGTTTTTTATCCTACATTGAACTTTTGATGTTGTCCCTTATTATGGGTAGATTAAACATGTATGATATTTGTACTTACCTTTTGGGAGAGGAGATGACACAGAACTGTTATAATGGCTAACCTCAAGTCCCATGTCATTTTCACTAGTACAGAAATGCCCATTCATCATGTCAATTCCTGAAGAGACATAAGTTGGCGTTGCTGTTGTCGTTGGTACAATTGGGCTCACTTCTCCACTCACATATATATTTCTGCCTCCAAATGATATACGATCAACATGATTTGGGCTCTCAGTCCTGATTGGTACATTTACATTTACACTGGAATTCTGCATATGCACAGTTCTTGAGAGTGACATACTTTTGTCCTGACTCCCTTGGTTAGTGCTTTCTAAAACAACCGGTGCAGGTCCTGTCTGAGCCAATACTGTGTTTTCATTGGTTGATTGAGTTGATTGGGTAGAGTACTGCCTATTGCTACTTGCCACATTTGTGACGACAGCACCTGGTTTGTTCCACCGCTCTCCCTCAGCTAAGAGCAATAAAATTTGTTTTGATACCTCCATCAATATCTCGTCTTCATCAACTTCAGAGCCATCTTCTTCCAAGACGATCATTGTGCACACCTTCCCAAATTTTATGCTCCCTGACGATAAGAATTATGAAATACATTTACTCAAGAGTAGATAACTTACTTTAAAATCTTTTTTTTTTTTTAAAAATGGCAGAGCAAATAGTAAATATACAAAATAATGGAGTAGTCATGAAAAAAAACATGTGTTCCTTTCATGCATCCTCACCAGCCCTGTACCAAGTGCTACTGTTATGTCTGGAACACTTTGGTTAAGCCAATCAATTTATTTCCATTTGTACTTTTATTGTTGCATTTTTCACCATATACTTTAGAATGATTAAATTGAGTAGGCAATGGAAAGATTAGACAATCAGCGAAAAATGATTAAATTGAGTTGGCAATGGAAAGATAAGATTATCAGCGGAGAATGATTAAATTGAGTTGGCAGTGGAAAGATTAGACAACCCAGGAATCTGTGATTATCAGTGAAGAGTTGTGAATGTATGGGCTCGTGCGTGTGTTCAACCCACCAAGTTATGTGGTATGTAAAATTTTCAGATCATGAATATTCAACAACTCATACCTCACAAGAAACACATCATAAAGTTTTTTTTGGCAATCGTACTTCTATTTCACAGTCACTGATCTATTTTGTATTTTACTACACTTTTTTCACTTTCGAAAAAACAATTAGAAAAAGATTATACAGACAGGCATATGAACACAAAACAATTGTAGGTTTGACTGGACTCATTGATGAGAGCATCCAGTAGTCGGAAAAGACATCTCCACTTGAATCTGTTGGATCAGTGCATTTTGAAAACAATCTTAACACTTTAAATGTCTTTCCCCCTCAAAGTTGCTGCAACCTATTTATTGTACATATTTATATAGTTTTTTGGTTAATTTTGATCGAAATGTCAATAATTTACCATTTGTGAAAAATGATGACAATTTTAAGGGTCAAAGGTCAACTAATTGGGGTATAATTTACTGTGAACCATTATTAGTCCCGGTTCGGACGTAGTCCGAAAACGGGGACTTATGGTTTGCCCTGTGTGTGTCCGTGCTTCCGTGCGTCCGTGATCACCTGTATCTCGAACATGCATGGACCGATTAAGTTCAAACTTCACTCATACATCACACATTATATGGGACATATGCACATGCATTTTTTCCATGATCCGATCAACGATAGCCGAATAGCGGCCATTTTAAGGCCGAAAATGCATCAAAATCGCACATTTTCACCATTCCGGACCCAGATCTCAGTTATGCATGGACGGCTTTTGTTCAAATTTGGTACATACATTAAACATAATAGGACCTTGATGCACGTCATTTTTTTTTTGGATCGGGTTTGAAATGGCCGACTGGCGGCCATTTTGTTTTAAAGAATTCAGTTCTGGATCCGTATCCGAGACATGTCTGGTTTGATCAAGTTCAAACTTCACACACACATGGTACATTATGTCACAAATAGATATGTGCATTTGTTTCATGATCCGCTTAACCATAGCTGAATGATGGCCATTTTAAGGCCGAAAATGCATCAAAATCACGTATTTTCACAATTCCGGAACCGGA